CAATGACCTTAATTGAACTTTTCTAATGACCAACTTTTATAAACTATATTCCATTTTAATCTGTATTCTGATATTGTATGCGGTGCGGCTATTAACAGTTAGTGTAATATTTCGACAGTTATTTTAATAGACCGGGCGCACACTCGACGTTGTTATTCCTATCGGATGTAATTAAGCCACAGCCAAGGATCTATACTTTGAATAAAAGGATTAAATATAATGTATCAATTAGACATAGTGCCTTCCTTCCGCTGTGTTGTGGCGATGGCGACTCGACGGAAGCGCCTGCGCACGCCACGTGACTCACATGACCATAACACACACGCACAAATAACATCGATTCACTGCCCATTGTCTACACACTCCATAAAACTAGCTCATTTGTGCCATTGGTGAAACCAAAATAGGGACGTCGTTTATGTACGCATAAGTTGGTTCCATTCAATTCTAAACGACATTAAGTAGATTTCGCATTTTGTAACAACGCACAAAATATAATGTCATTGTTTTGTTATAATGTGAGAAATTAAATGTAATCGTTAAAAGGTAAATCTTTTTATTTTTCACATTGCGAGACAATCGTATATGTGACCTGTGACCACAGAAGAATCAACACAAATTTACCAAAGCACATCGCTCTATCGTTACATTTAAGCACACCCATTGGTACATTTAATTATGCCATAATAGTAACGAAACAAAAATAACCACCAACAACAATGATATTCAATCTCGTGTCAAATCAAATGAAATGAATTTTATAGAAGTGGCTCACAAATAGAATTAGATTTACATTCAGTGGACAATGTAATGGGTAAAACCTGCGTATTAGTTATACAAATACAACCTACTGATACAATTATTTGCTAATAGTTTTTTATTGCGTACTAATTTCCATTTTCTGTATGTATATAACTTAAAATTTAATATCAGTTACCAGGTCAGGCTGTCTTATGACATAGGCCTCCTCAAGTTCAAGTTTTAAGTATAGTTGGTATAGTATAGTTAGTAGGGTTTTGTTTTGTATTATATTACAAATTGTACAAGGTCAGAGTAAATAAAGGCTATTTTTATTTTATTTTATTTATTGTTTATTGCATAATTGCCTAGAATTTGTTTTATTGAAACCAATAAATAAGACGCGGAAAGGAAATATGGAATATTAATTTAAAAAAAACATGCATCGAAAATTGTATGATAATGGTATCGAGAATATGGAACCACGCAACATGTTCAACAAGTTTACAGAATGGTAAAAAAATATTTATTAAGGATAGCCAAAATGCGTTGGTATACCGTTTTCCTTTTCAAAATAACACAGCAGCATTTAAACTCTTATAACACCGGAGAGTATAAGGACTCCCACATTTTCTGATGTAATAACCCCAGAAAATGTAGGAGTGCGCGAAACAATTAAACTACGTACTTCATTTATAGAGGCCCAGGTATTTGATAACAAATTAACCATTGTGTGGACTATATTTGCCTTACATGTATTAAAAATTGTCAGTATTGCTTTCTCAGTTGATTAGGTCAAATTCCAGCAGAAATTCAGTAACATTTTAATTGGGTGAGTATTAAAATATTTTTACTAAAAAATAGCCGAAAGTTTTATCTTCCAATGGCTTACAAGATTGTAGAGGTAACAAAAATGTTGTTTTAGAAATCATTGGATAAAGCAAAGGTAGCTTAAATAACCAAAGGTGGAATGAGCGAATAAGGAACAAAGCGGACAGAAAAGAAATAGGTCACCATACCAAAATACCATGTATAGTTACCATGAATACAGTTATAATTTGTAGTCTCGCTACTACCCAAGGGCTTAATCTCAGTTCGTGGAGATTGACTGCCATGTTTATATTAAGTCATGATGAACGTGAATGAGAATCCAGTACGCTATTTGCCTCATCACTATTAAACATGTGCTAATTAATAATTATCACCTGTCCAGGCCTCTCCTTAGAAAGGAGGTTTTGGCCTACCATACCACACTGGCCAGACGGGTTGTGACGTTTGTGACTCCTGACGTTCATGGGCGGCGATGGTCACTTTCCATCAGGTGACCCGTCTGCTCGTCTGCCCCCTTTAACATAAAGAAAAGGTGACATTATAATGGACAGATAAATCTCGAAGGTTCTAAACGCGAATGGGAAAGCTACTACTGCCGAAAAAAAAACATTTCATGTTTAAATTAACTAAATCGTTCAAGGATTTCAAGTTATCGGCAACAATCAGTTTGAATCAAAAACTCGAGTTTTGTTTACACTTTGTAATCCTTCCGTATCAGTAATTCCTTTCTTTCAATTAACGTTTCCCTTTCAACATAAGATGGAAAATTTTCTCATATTCAATTTCCAAAGCTGGGTTAACAACCATCAGCTTGCCCAATGGTCAGGGCATTACACGATTACACAAAATGTTTATGTTTTAAATACTCAATAAAAATAGATGTGTATATTTGTATAAGTTAAATAATTGTAATTTGTTTTTTTCATAGCTCTCCTGTCGTTTTGAGGAAAAGTGGTTTCTGATTAAATTTAAAAAGGAGTTCCTAGATAGCTTAACAGATTTCTTCCCAGAGATACTAACAGGGGTACATACTAATACCGAAAAATAACTACAAATGGGTTAGTTGATGTCAACAAAAAGGTCATAAGTGATTTAAGTAGATATATTTATGGTTAAGTCTATATCAGATAGAAATTAACTATTTGACCAAGTTAAAAATTTGTCGATACCTGTATTAATGAATGACATCAGATTCCAGTATACAATAAGTAAAGTTTCATTTTCATTAGCTTGTAATAATAATAAAACTCATACAAAACTGGAGGACTGACATTATCAATAGACGTATTCTGAACTGCATAGGTACTTCATCCTAATGAATAGGATGATTAGATTAAAACGTTAAAATGCCTTGAAGAACCCTCAATAAGCCTCAATACAATCAATGTTATACCAATACTTGTATAGCTTAATATGACAGGTCTGTTGGCCTAGTGGCTAGTGATCCTGATTGCTAAGCCAAAGGTCGTGGGTTCGATTTCCACCAAGGGCAATTTTTTAAATAATGGAGTGGTGAGCACTATCATTTGTTCTGTGTCTTGGTGTAATTTATGTACATATGTCTGGTAACCATAGTATAGGCTCTGCCTAGTATGGGATCAGACCGCCGTGTGGTGGAGGATTTTATTATCATTAATACCATTATATTTGATGTAATAAATGGGCTAAAGATACACTCGTACAGTGCTATATCCCCAGTGAGTGTTTGGCATATTATTGCTTGCGCTTAAATGCAACTGAGTAACTTGAACACAATTTGGCATTGTTTGACATATTTAATAAGTTATTGTTATTAAAGAGACTCATCACTCAACCTCCTTTGTTAGAATAGAACAGAAAAAAGCATAGGAAGCATAAAGAAGCCCCAACCCTATACAGGCAATACTAATTCCTTGAACTGCTCTCTAAGTGTGAGATGTACATTAAAAGTTTTGCATGTCGTAATATAGTTAGTTACGTGACTCTGTTGTTAAACTATTATCTTTAATTACCTAAATCTTGAAAAAAAAACTATAAAAATAAGATGATAATACCGAGACAAATTTTTGCTTTTTTTGTCTCTTTAGACACCAGTCCTAGATTGGTTTTTATACATACTTATAATACAAAACATTAAGGTAGTTTCTATTTATATATATATCTTAAACAATGACACACTGTTTAACGTTCTACAAGTAATCGTGTTTTGATGCTTACACATTCATTAGACAGTGATTACGTATTCAAACATCAAACATTTTTATTAAATTAACACATTTTGCTGGGCCATGCTCACCTAGGTACATTCGTAGACTATTTTACATACTTAGCGTTGTTATATTTCTCACGACATGATCGGTAAATGAAACAATATCTGCTCATAAATATGTTGTCATTACATTTATTATCAAATTCTGTATAATATCAATATTTTGTTTCAATAATTTCAATATTTACAAACATGACATGAGATAAAAAGTAATTTAGCAACAAGCGGGTAGGTTCGGTTGTGCAAATACAAACATATTATTATGACTTTCTGTTAAAGTTCAAATTTTATTTTACATACTTTGTCATTTAATATGTAGATAAAACAATCTCTATTCTACAACATACAATAAGTAATGAGAGAGCTCTAGAAGTTTATAAGTGAGAGCTATTATAAAGTAGAAAAACATCACAATTTTATACGTTACAAATAACTTTCAGCGTCCATGCTTTCAATAATTTAATACTGTTCGTCTATTCACTATCAAATCGTTATAACAAAAACTCGATTATAGGACAATAGACACTTATTAATAATAGAAATCCTTTAGTCATCACATATTTTTAAAACATGAGTCTTAAATATAATAGTAAATGCGCAATAAGCCTCACATGGTTAAAGAAAAATTATCTACAACTATACATACATATAGCGATACCTGAAAGTTTACAAGAACTGTTTAGTGAACGAAATAAATAATATGAAAATCATAAGCTTAGCATGTTTGTGAGTTGATGTGGATGTAGATCGAGATTCCGTGGCTTCGTGATTCGAACGGATGCGACGAAACGAGAGCTGTGCACCGTTACCTGCGCCAGCGCCGCCGGCCCCCCGGCCGGTCGCGTGGATGCGCCTACCTCATGCCTCCCACCTTTTATAAAATGAGCCAGACTCATCAACTAAATGTTCACATACTAATACATACAGATACCACCTTTGAGTCGCTCCAGCCTGAGGCCAATAAATGCATTTCAGCTCTTCGGGAACATTAATGTACTGTCCTGCTAATAAGCATTTATCTCTAATCGTCTAAGCAGTCTCATTGCCTTATATTAAAAATACACTTGATATCACAAAATATATGCCGCAGCGCTCGTACGCGCTCAAAGTTAACGTTTTCATAACAGAACCGTCCTTTGTGTTCATAATAATACCTATGCTGCAACCATTACCAGCGTTAAGATCAATCTTTATCCCGAAGCAACTCGGATTTGGCACTTTTTTCACTCCCGTTGAAAGAAAAGTTTGGATTATCCTTTTGTTTATATGCTTTGTCCAACTTTGCAGATGGAGGATCGTTTTCAATCGGTGCAACTACTGTTGAACCCGATGTTACAGGAGCGGGGTTAATTTTTTCACCTTTACAAAATTCTTGAAGCCAAAGTTCCGAGTTATACGAAGGACCTTCGCCGCCCAGTTCTGCCGGGAGAATATCCAGGGGTAGAGCATCATGCAGCGTTGATAAATTATTTCCGTGCAATACTATGCGTTCTCGCGTTTTAGTCTTGAGGTACGGTTTAATTACAGCGAGAGCGGTTTCTACATACCAAGGCTGACCGATGAAATGTATGCTTTTAAATCTAACTGGCATGCAATCTTGTAGGCAATCTATCATCATTTTTAACACTTTAGCTTGTAAATTACATGATTGTTTGAAGGTGAATTCTGTCCAGTCAACAATAATAACATATCCATTGGCTTGATTTTGAACTTCTTCGAGAGTGCGTTCAATTGTGAGTAGCAATGATCTAAAGACTGAGATAAGCGGACAAGCGTGAGGAATCCAATTAGACGCGAACATTAACAGCACACATCGTCCTCGGCGGTCTCGCTGCGCCAGCACACCCGGTAAACCATCGGAGAGAGCACGTAGCACACCACCATCTGCCGTTGCCCATAATTCCGGATGTTCGCGTCTATATTGATGATAACGCACTAAAAGTTCGAAGCTTTGTTGCACATCGTGTTTCCGCGCATATAGAAAACGCCGCAGAAAATTGTCGTCTTGACATCTGCTTTTGTCGCGGAGGGCGAGGTTGAGGCTTGAGTCCACGGTATCTTTCAAAGCAACAAGCGCACGTTGCCTATCGCCATCTGTGAGTTTTTTTCTTGCCGCTTCACAAAGCCGCTCATTCTGCATTTGATGCAGTCTCCAGTCATATTCAGCGTACTCGTTCATGACTGGTTTTGGTGTGAGTCATGCGTCCTTTCACTGGTATATCGTGCCGTTGCGCGCGCGCCGCCTAGTGCTCGGGGCCGACTGCGCACAGAGTTCGCGCCGCACCATGCCGCCATCGCTGCTCGTTCATTAAACCGTGTAATGCCCCGTTCACATGCGATAGTAACTCGTTCAAGTTTACTTACCTTGTAACAAAGTCTTGCAACGATTAGTATTCAAAAGACTAAAGTATTTTTATCATAATCTGAACGTGATTGTCAAGTCAAGTTAAATAAAGAAACATAACTTATTTTTTTACTTTTGTTTTAGAAGCACAGATTTTCAAGTATTGGCTGTATACAAACAGATATAGGCAACAATAAAGTAGAGTGAAAATAAAATAATATAAGGGCAATTACTTTTATCTTTAATCATTTACATAAAAGTAGATACAAATTCTAAATTTTGCTTTCATCAAACATTTTCTTTAGTGCTTTAATTAAGGTAAACTAAGGTAAAATATGAAGAAGTAGGAGTAACAGATAAAATTTCGGCTTAAAACATCCAATGAGTACGTTTACCTGATAATATCTGTATCTGTACATTTTTACTTTAGTAATTTAACGCACTTCTCTAAACTGCTGTAACTAGGTGATGCTGATAATGATCCAGTCTTATTTTTTGTTTTTAGATATGTTGGAGCAAAAGCAATAATATGTCAAGAAAATACTGCGTGTATCACTAGCGTAAATATTTGACTCACTAAATAACAAGAATTTCCATTGCATATGAAACCAAATATTTATTTAATGTTTCCGAAAGTTAAAGAGAAAATATTAAAATTCTTTTTCATTTTAAATGTTTTACTTGCACTTGCTTATCGTTTTTAATAATCATTTAACGAAATTCCCTACTTTTAAAGTAGGTTACTTATTTAGATTACGTACCTAATTGTGCAAGTACGGACGCATTTTATGTGATAATTCATAATTATATCCTACTATAAAAAATGCCTGTTGTGTTTAGTAAGTTGAAATACACCATCGTTTGAACAGAGCACAACTTGCCCAAGCAGAGCGAGTTATAAATAAAAAAACTGAAGGTTGGCAGTATACCGGTCAATTGGCTGGCTGGTTTCTGCGATGACGTAGCCAACGTGCGCAAGAGACGCACAACGTAGGTGGAAAAGAGACAAAGAGCCGCTTCGTAACAATTATTACTATGAAGCCTTATACGTAACGTATAAACGGATGGCCGAAAATCGTATAACGTCCGTGCTTTGTTCACTTATCGTGTAACTAGATGCCGTAACAAGTAACACTTACAGATATCACATTTTCAATACTTGCAACTATCCATTGTCTATATTCTTTAGTTTTTTTACTATATGTGTACATCAAAGTAAAATCACAAAACAAACGCAAGCAGGATTATAGTTATATACCATTTACCGGTGAGTTGATAATTTACTTATTTTCCTGTTTATTCAAAAGAATACTTATTTTGAAAACAATGTCCACTTATAGGTGCTGTCGAAATGCATATACAAGACAACGGTGCGCTAAATCCAAGTGCTCAGTTTTTGCCATTGCCTATGAAAACTAGTAATATTAACTACTACATTGCTGACCATAGCGTTTTCGTCTAGTAATTTGGACGATTCTATTCTACTCAATCGACCTTGTTGCGAATTTCTATCGAATTGATACTTAACCTCAAACCGGCGGCGCCGAAATTACAATGAATGAAAATCTACTTGTAACCTAATGTACGTAAAGTTTCTGGCATAACTTTTAAGTACCTTCACATAAATAATAGAAGAAACACTCAGTTTATTGTGTAAATAAACTAATTATAGTACACTGATTCAAAACTGTACTAAAAATAGTTGAAATAGTCCATGTGGCTAGGAAGGATCAAATTCTTAATCATTTTTATTCGATAATCAATGTCATATTACACTAAGAATACAACTGTAATACGCATTACATGAATATACATATAAAAATATATCTCCTTATGAAAGACATCAACGACATCTCCCGACTTATTTAATACTAAATTCGACCATTTACGTCTATCTACCACTGAATGTAACTTGTGAAAAATGTGTAAATATAACATATTTTTAAATACAGCATAAATACATTTATAATTTTTTATTATGTTAGACAATTCGGTATAGCCAATATCGGGTGTTAATCGCATAAAATTAGGAAATTGTGTGATCACGTGCATACTTGAAGTTCAACCGTCATGGTTAATAATTCATTGGCTATGTTGTCTCACTTTTTTTATGCACGCATTGCTCCTAGTAAGTATATAATTTTAGATCTCTAATTCGCTCCTTATATAATGTTCTTTATTTATCCAGTACGCCCTCACTCTCACTTCGTGGCATGGATCGTGGCACACTTATTGGCGTAAATTATTAAACTAGAAAAATGTGTAAAAAGGCCCATCAGATTGAGTGAGAGTTACGTATTTAATATGCTATGGTTGAAAACCTTTTTCTCAGAAAAGTCTTCTGAAGGACCTTGCCCTTAATTAACAAAGTAAAGGTAAATAAATCATTTGTAAGACGTCTCTTATTGCACTGGTCAACTGAACAATATCACTGAAAAGACATATCTACTACTGAACTGAACAACCGCGCAACTGTGCGTACGATAAGCAGATATGTGATCATAATTTCGTAGGTTCGCAGGACTGCCTAACAATTGTTTTCGATTCATATTCATCGAATGCTATTGTTGAGTAGTCGGTCTAATTTATTAAGCAGATCTGCATTTAAGTCGAGATAACACACATCACTATAGTCGATAAGTGGAAAAATTAAACTCCACACAAGCATCATCTTTGTTTTTATTGGGATAAGATTTTTAAGGCAACAGAATCCGAGTAATATATTTGTAACTTTCTGACTGACGCCAGTCTCCTGAGTTTGCCAATTCAGAGTCGTATCGATGTGCAGACCGAGATCCCTGACGGATGTACTAACAAGAAAACGGTAGCCTTAAAGATGATTTTAGTAATACTATCAGGATCAAGTCTGCTTGTCATTCTCGAACTCCCTGTAATGATCGCTTGGCATTTCGATGGGTTCATCGTTAAACCGAACCTTCTGGACCAGTTTTTAATGGTCTCTAAGTCTTGAATAATTACTTGTCAAATATAATAGATCTCCCCTGCTCGTCTGCCCCCTCTCACATAAAAAAAAATCGATGTGATACGAACACCGAAGTTCATAGCATATGTGATCGATAAATAAAGAACAAAGAAGAGGAGAATACCGCCTTGTGGAACACCAGAGTCGAGTTCGGCCCACATAGATGAAGATTCATCGGTTCGGGCGGACTGCTGGCATCCTAGATTGTAACCTCTATTCTAACAAGATATTTATATTGGACAGACTACAACTACACTTAATTTTCATATTCAAAGTATTAATTTAAAGGGCGTCGTCGTGTTTTACATTTCAACGTTCTCGTTTTTACTGTAATTCTTAAATAAGTTTAAGGAAATTTCAAAAGAGTCCTGACAAGCTATGTTTTGTTTGTGTCGATATTACTTTTAAGTTACAGTGAAGAAATTTCACGATATTACTACCTGAGTTACAAAAAAATATTTTAACTTTGATATCAACACGACAAAACGTGGTCTCTACATCTGATGTTACATAATTATGTAGGCCCTTTTCGGTCTCAATCTGCTTTACCATGCCATTTGACATACCTATGATTTGATCGGAACCCATGAACAACTCATCTTATTGTTAAAAATTAAACAAGAAACATGCCATCCCAAGCTCTATAACATAAAACGTTCATTCCTAGTACTTTTATCCTTGTTCTAAACATAATTAATCAAAAGGATTCATATTAAATACCATAGCTGTTTTTTGTTAACCAATGTTTTTGAAAAGGTATGTCAGTTATTTATTTAGATAATTACTTTAAGGGCAATGACTTTAAAAAAAAAAACCGTGTCGATGCATCGCATGGTCGTTGGCCCCTATGACTCGGCTAGGCCGGCAACGGACGCCCGAGTAAAAATAGACTCTGTGGCCTCTCGAGATATGTTGATAGCACCTCTCTACATTAGCCCACTGCTCAAAGTATTGTTAAAATGTTATTATGGTACTATCATCGACGGTTTGTTTGCTTGTTTTGTCTTTTTAAATAAAGGTTAGTTTACAATAACAGCGTGCGATAAAGTCTACTTTGGTTTAAAACTGTACCGCAACATTAGTGACCATCACTTTCAAAATGATATGACAACATTCCACAAAATCGATAAAAAAAGGAGATGTAGGAAGTATACGTATTACCTTAGCTCTTTCTGTTCCTAACTTTGTATATCTACAAGTACGTGTCTTTTTGATATTTATTACTGTGAATGTGACTCTAAAATATGTAGTGGGACTACAATTGAACTAAGCTCCCAGGGTTTACTGCTTCTTGTACTTATATGGCAAATATTTATTTTACCTAAAAGGACTTATCGGTATTCGGGTTTGATAACATTAACTTCGAATAAGAAACGAACATACTATAATAAAATTTTCGTACAAAATTTAACTGTGTCGATTATTATAGAGAGTATTTTTCGAGCAAATAACTCGAAAGCCTGATAAAGATAAACCAGAATACTACTCTTGAGTACTATAGATATAAGTCATTAAAAGTATTTGCTTATCACAAATATTTAAAGCCATTATGATTCACTATCTATTATTTAACTGGAGATGACCACTGAACAGTAAATAAGAAGTAGTGAGAGTAAGAAGTAAGGTCAGCAGTAAAGATATCTGAATACTTTATGTAAAAATGTATGATTATCTAACAGTAAGTAATATACAATGAATAGTGTTTTAAATAACTTAAGAACAACAGTGCTCAGTACAGATTTTTCTTGTAATAAATATTGTTATAGCCTATTTATTTATTTATTTCTATTCAAGTGAATGACAACAACTACTAACATAAAATGTTGCATATTGTCCCATTAAGACTCGATCG